TCTAAGTGTCCACTGTAGGCTGCTCGGTGAAGAGGGGTATACTCATCTTCATCCCTAGTGTTCACTTCAGTGGCCTTCTCAGAAAGTAGTCTCTGCACTGTAGCAAGCTAAGGAAAAAAAAGAGAACTTTAAAAAGTCCCACTCAAAGCAAAACAACAAAGATAATTACTTCATCCAGTGGCTTTAGTCTTTAAGATTCTCTTTTAGAGGGAGAAGGTAACTAATGATGAACAAGTTACAGCTCATTACATGCAGGTGCATCTCAAGAATGATTCTCTGGCCGGATGGCGGTAGTGCACGCCTTTAATCCCAGCACTTGGGAGGCAGAGGCAGGCGGATCTTTGTGAGTTCGAGGCTAGCCTGGTCTACAGATTCGGGAAAGGCACAAAGCTACACAGAGAAACCCTGTCTTGAACCGCCCCCCACCCCCCCAAAAAAAGAATGATTCTCTGAATATCACACAATACATTACTCCTACTCTAATAAACGTTTATTACCCAGTGCTTTGGCCCTAGATGAACAAACGGTTTAACTGTATATTTCACCTGTGAAGCAAATTTAACCTTCCTATAACAGATTATATCAATATACATAGTATATGAACCAAAAAATAAAAATGAAACTTCCTTTAACAATAAAGTGATGCTTCAGCAGCCCAGAGACTAAAGAGCTCAACTCCTCCTACAGACAAGCTCACAGACATGCCATGTTGCTGGGCATCAAGCTTAGGTTTGGTCTATGGACCTCTGGTAGAATACATTGTGCTCTGGGATCAAAAAGCTATTGTAAAGTGTAAAACCCTTTCAGTTTTTAGTTTACCAACACAGACATGGGAGAACTTAGTAAAATTAAGTACAAATGGCCAAGTGGGAAGAACTGATTTTGGGTCCTGTTTTTGGATGACTGGGCAAACATGTCTTGCCTTCCTTGTAGGGCTTTGTGAGGACTAAATAAGTGCAGTTAGACACTTGATGGAGTTGTCCTCTAAGTTAATTTCTATCTTACCTATCCTTAGCTATACTTACCTACAGAGTGCTCCTAATGATTTAATCAGAGGGTTGTTTATAATTACCCCCAAACCTCCCAACACCTAGTCAGTTTATAATGTAGTGTGCACTTTTATACACACTATTTCATTCGACACTCCTACACGAGACAAATATTAAGCTGTCATTTTTAAAGACAAGAAATTGAAACGGTCAGAAATGGTGGAATATGCCCAAAGATAAAGACAGAGGTTCGGGGGCAGGTCTTTGGACTCCAAACCAAATGCTTTTCCAGCTCTGTAATGTTTTTTTTTTTTTTTTACCCGATTTTTTTCAGCAGCCCAAAGAAGCAATTTGCTTGGATCTTTTTCCATTTTTTTCTCTTGCAATTGATACCACTCTTCATGTTTTTCCTCTTGCTCCTCATCTTCATCAGAATCGCCTATCCAGAGACTCTGAGTACCAGTAGGAATCAGGTGTCCATGGGTTTCCAACAATTCAAGCT